AACAGAATATGCAGCAATTTTCTAAAGTTTCACGGACAGTTCCTCTTGTGATAAAGCATCTCCCAAGTATGAGAACGACTATCGAATGTGTATCGTACAAATATTGAAAGGATGAATTGAAATCTTGACTTCATCAACAAATATATTCAACATTCGATTAATTCAAGTAACTAAAACAAGTTCAGAAAAAAATAACTGGAAGAGAAAACTAAGCAATGATTATCGACTACCAGTATTTCCTTTCAAAACCTACTTAGAGAAGGAAAAATAAAATTTTGAAAGCAAAAGTCATTCCAGCACAGCCAATTATGGATTTTTTTTCTTTTTTTTTATCACTTTTCGAACCTTGTTGCTAGAAAGTTGACAATTAAGGTCGTCATCTGCTATTACTCCTGACACCTTATTGGAGGATCTAGTTCTCTTGTCATACGTCTTCAAAGGAGATAATTTTGCTATAATTTTGCTTTCCAATCTGCACCATCTTCTACCACAGATGATGCACTTTCTTATATGTTTTTTTGGATGGGAGTTTGTGAAGTAGACGTAACTTGACTTTCGGATTCCTACAAAAATAGAAAAAGTGGAGAAGCAGTTGGAGAGCGATAAAGGTCTTGATTGTATAATTTTTACTATTGCTTTAAAATTAAATAATTAATAATGTCATAACACTATTAATTTTTGGATGATTACCCCAAATAGCTTCTCTCCACCCGAGCTTTCTCCATCAGGAGTCTCTGAATCCTGTTACGAAGAAAAATATCATAAAATAAACATTAATTTTTGAAGGTAACATACTGATAGACAACTTAATTTAGTTGTCGTTAATGTATCTGGAGTTTGCTAAGAATATATTTTACACTGAATGTGTCTTGGAGTGAAGAGTGACAGTATTCCTTTAGGAGATCACCCTAAAAAAGATAGATTCATTATTAGGATGTATTATATTGCTAATAAATAGCTTATATGTAGAAACAGAAACATAAATATTTATACTGCACATAATCGTTGCATATATGAAACGAGTGTTGAGAACTTGAATTACTGCAAATAATTGTTTCATAATCGTTTTATTGAGAACTTGAATTAATGTCGTATTTGTTAAACACTCAATAAACACAATTGTGAATACAACGTTAATAGAAATATAGTACTGGTACTACATATAATATTTCACAATTACTTCTTTGTATTGTGAAAAATTTATCCATAAAACCAGAAAAGAAGAAAAACTTTAGAACTATGTAAAGTTGAATATGTTACCGTTGCATCTTGTAAAATCAACTCAATCGAATATAGTTTTTCAGGATTTAAACGATCCGGCATTTCCCACATTCGAACGACTCTAACTTTGAGATTCCATTTGCATCGAGTTGCTTGAAATTTGACTGATTTCATAAAATACTGTAGCCATATTTGCAAACTTTTGCATTCTGAGCAAAGGAAAAAATTGGAATGGAGAATAGAAAAGAAAATAGAACAGGCGTTTGAGATATTATTAGTATAGGAGACAGTTTCTAAGTTATGGAGTTAGATTTTGATGCTCACGTTTAAGAAGAGGATCGTGGAGTTTTTTTCCCTTTCTTCCTATTAAAACTATTAAAATTAAAATTATCTGTAACGAATTTTTTTAGTTGAAAACGTGGGAGTCCAAAAATTTGAATTAGATGATCGTGATGAAGAAACATGGGAGTCCAAAAAATGTGGGAGTCATGAATAGATACACAAACATGGTCTCTTGGTGGAAATAACTGAAACATATTAATGCTTTATCCAAGAAATAACTGGAAAAAACGTGGGACTCCTAATGCTTTATTCAAGTTGCAAATTAACGTGGTACTCTTAATGCTTTATCCAAGCTGCAAATTAACGTGGGACTATTAAGAGAATTAACTGAATCATACCAATGCTTTAAAAGCTGCAAATTAATTTTTTTATTTTATAGATTTTTTGAATCTCCATGATTATTGGAGTGTTGTCTTAATTCTTGACACGTGTCGAGACCACAGTTTGACACTAGGCACAATATAATGGATTTGCCTCACCTTTTCTATATTAACTAGTAGTCGTACCCGCGCGATGCGCGGTCAATATTAAAAAAATATTAATTAAATTAAATTGTGATCAGGCTTGTTTGATCCTATTAGATCGTATTGCTTTAATAAAATTCAATTGTCGTCTTGTTTGTCAATACGATATACCCAATAATGAAATCTCTATTAAATCAAAGGTACTTATATAGTCAGTGAATAACTTTTTTGTTCTATTTTTCTTTATTATATTAAACAATATTTAGTATTCGCTTTCTTTTTGTAATATATGAGAAGATATATAATTTATTACTATTGAAATATTTTTTTATTTTAAATTTTATTCTGTTGTTCTTAATAATATTATCTAAATTTTAGTGAATAAAATCTATGTTAAACTAACGGGACTTCTACAGGCAGCACATCGAATAACGTTTTTGTTATGTATTTTTCTTTATTATATCTTTCAATATTTAATACTATTATATTGTTAATAGAAAGTTTCATTAGCATATTACGTTATTTAAAATTATTTTAAAACTCCAACTTGAAACTACTCCCCGATTTGAAGGGGTAGTTTTCTTCTCTTTTTGTCATTTTTTATAGATTTTTTTTTTTGCTTTTTTATTTTAAAATAATTTAAAAACTCCAACTTGAAACTACTCCCACCCAATTTGAATGGGTAGTTATTTTTTTATATATTTATATTTTCGTTTTTTATATAGTTAATTATAAGATATCTATATTTATTAATTCAAATAAAGTAACCAATTAATATATATATATATATATGGTAGTTTTGTATTTTTTTATTTTTTTCATTTTTTATATATGTTTAAATTCAAAAAGAATAACCAATAACTAATTATGTCATGTGGCTTTTTTTTAGGCTGCCACTTGGCTTAAGGAAAGGGCTTTTTCCTCTCCTTTTAGTAATATATAGAAGATTCTGTTGTTCTTTATAATATTATTTAAATTTTAGTGAATAAAATCTTTTTTAAACTAACGGGACTTATACAGGCAGCGTATCGAATAACTTTTTTGTTATGTATTTTTCTTTATTATATCTTCCAATATTTAATACTACTACATTGTTAATAGAAAGTTTTATTAGCATATACGTTATTTAATATTTTTCTCTGAAGTTTTTTTTTTATTTCTTTATTTTCGTTTTTTTATTTTCAAATAATTTTAAAACTCCAACTTAAAACTAATCCCCAATTTGAATTGGTAATTTATTATTTTTTTAATTTCGTTTTTTATTTTAAAACTCACATTTGAAACTACTCCCGATTTGAAAGGGTAGTTTTTCTTCTCTTTTTTTCGTTTTTTATAGCTTTTTTTTTTGCTTTTTTTAAAAAAAAATAATTTAAAAACTCCAACTTGAAAGTACTCCCACCCAATTTGAATGGGTAGTTATTTTTTTTTATATATTTATATTTTCGTTATTTTATTATAGTTAATTATAAGATATCTATATTTATTAATTCAAATAAAGTAACCAATTAATATATATATATATATACATATATATATATATATATATATATGTATATGGTAATTTTGTATTTTTTCAATTTTCATTTTTATATATATTTAAATTCAAAAATAATAATCAATAACTAATTATTAATTAAAAATAACTACCAATTTGAATGGGTAGTTATTTTCTTATATATTTATATTTTCATTTTTTTATTATAGTTAATTATAAGATATCTATTTTTATTTTAAAATTATTTTAAAACTCCAACTTGAAACTACTCCCCGATTTGAATGGGTTGTTTTTCTTCTCTTTTTTTCATTTTTTATAGCTTTTTTTTTTGCTTTTTTGATTTTAAAATAATTTAAAAACTCCAACTTGAAACTACTCCCACCCAATTTGAATGTGTAGTTATTTTTTTATATATTTATATTTTCATTTTTTTTATTATAGTTAATTATAAGATATCTATATTTATTAATTCAATTAAAGTAACCAATTAATATATATATATATAAATTCATATATATGGTAGCTTTGTATTTTTTTATTTTCATTTTTTATATATATTTAAATTCAAAAATAATAACCAATAACTAATTATTAATTAAAAATAACTACAATTTTGAATGGGTAGTTATTTTCTTATATATTTATATTTTCGTTTTTTTTTATTATAGTTAATTATAAGATATCTATTTTTATTTTAAAATTATTTTAAAACTCCAACTTGAAACTACTCCCTGATTTGAATGGGTAGTTTTTCTTCTCTTTTTTTTTAATAGCTTTTTTTTTTTTTTGCTTTTTTATTTTAAAATAATTTAAAAACTCCAACTTGAAACTACTCCCATCCAATTTGAATGGTTAGTTATTTTTTTTATATATTTATATTTTCATTTTTTTATTATAGTTAATTATGAGAAATCTATATTTATTAATTCAATTAAAGTAACCAGTATATATATATATATATATATGAATTCATATATATGGTGTAGTTTTTTATTTTTTTATTCTATATTTATTAATTCAAATAAAGTAACCAACTAATATATATATATATATATATATATATATATATATAAGTATATTTAGCTTTGTATTTTTTTTATTTTCATTTTTTATATATATTTAAAAATTAGAAATAATAACCAATAACTAATTATTAATTAAATATAACTACCAATTTGAATGGGTAGTTATTTTCTTATATATTTATATTTTCGTTTTTTTATAGTTAATTATAAGATATCTATTTTTATTTTAAAATTATTTTAGAACTCCAACTTGAAACTACTTCTTGATTTGAATGGGTATATATTTAAATTCAAAAAGAATAACCAATAACTAATTATTAACTAAATAACTAATTATGCCATGTGGCTTTTTTTAAGCTGCCACTTGGCTTAAGGAGAGGCTTTTTCCTCTCCTTTTTCCTCTCCTTTTAATAATAAGATAGATGATCTTCACTCTAAAAAGAGTCGGTTGCAGGAAGGGGCTGGAAATTTGTGTTCCCAACAAACCAGTAGAGCACCCACTTCAAATTGCAAAGTGTTTACTCTTAAAAGAGAGTTTTAGAACAATTCTTAACGTTATTCTCAACATAAAAGAGAATAACGTGATATATCCATAATTCCAAATTGTCAATTGATCGAATTTGAGGCCTCCAGTATGTACTTCATAGTTCCCAAATAAAAGGTTCAACATCAACCCCAAAGAGAAGTTTCAATTTTATAAAAAAGCAGCAGAGAAAGGTTATCACTCATGGTACCTAACCTACTAGTTGAGGCTCTAAGGCTAAAAGATCTCAAGTTTAGCTCCCTTTCAAGTTTGGGTAGTTGTCAAACTGCATCATAGTCGTTTTGCACGCATACATGGTCAATTGCCTTGGGACGAAATACATTCTCAAATTTATTGGTATGGCCATCGATTGGTATTCTTTGCCCCTACATGTTATGGACATCCTTCTGTAAGTTACTTCAGTCAATCGATCAATTAATTATGTCTGATCAATTTCAAACTAACTGAGATCCGTTTTATGATATCTTCTGCGCTCATACCGCTATATTTTGACCCTCTCCGTTAGGTAAGTAAAGAAAAACAGCATTCTCAAGTCAAAGTGGCTAAATCCAAATGCTGCATATTATTGTAGGGGCTAATGGTTCATGGGTGTAGTTATGCCAATAAGTTAACATTTGCAGTAGCAGTTGATGAAGGAATAATTCCAGATCCGAACCAACTTGGAGATGATTTTGTCGATTCATTCATGCTTATCAAAGAGGCTGCCCTCTCAAAATTCAGAACCATGGTTGACTAGTGACTAGCTTATTAGTTATTACACATTTGGATGCTCCTCAACAAAACTTGAAAACGTTGTTCCCTATTTCATGATTCATAAATGCAAGACTCTGAGTTTATCGGCACAATCGAGCACAATTATGATATGTAAACTTATTGCTGGTGAAAGAAAAATAAAACTTATTGCTCAAAAAATTATATTTCATTAATATTGTAGCGATAGTGATCCGTCGCATTATACTTGTGTACCAATGTTATTGTCAATAAGATACTTCCTAATTAAAAAGAAAAAAGAACTACTCCTATAACATTTGAGCCATAACTAGAAGAGCTTGTCCAACATTTGTTTTTATTCAAGGCAAAGGCCTCTTTCTACCACAGCATCCTTGATAAGCTTTAGAGATTGTTCAAAATCGTCCAGCAGTTGATATGGATCAGGAATCACACTTTCGTCTACTGATAGAACTATTGTCATCTTGTTTATATAGCTCTGAAAATTAATCATCAGCGCCTGAAATTTAAATTCAAGGTTATGATGTAAATATAATCTAAACAAGATCAGTCTATCTATAGATATATCATTACGATTTGGTCAAGCAAATTAGTGATACTTACATGAGGTTGCCCATAAGAACTGGGTGCAAGATAAGCCATAGGATGCCCATAGAAGCCAATTTCCTCTTGAGGACCCACCAAATTGGAGAAACACAGTGTTGTATTGGTGAGAATTCTGTGCGATATTGAACTTGATGTCTGAAATTAAATTATTTTTTTTTAACAGAAGAAAAAGGGTCAGATCTTGTAATTAATGAAATCTTATGTGAAGATTGAAACATTGAGAAGTGATTATGCCTTTACCTTAATCCCAAAAAGCTTGAGTGCTAATTTGGAGATGGAAAATGTGCAGATAGCTTCAAGAGAGTTTTTCTTCTTACGATCAATGGTTGCCTTAACTTGTCTAATATAATCTAAGGGGTCATCTCGTAATGCAATTTTAAAGGGTAAAAGGACAAAACCAACGCAATTGCCCCATTTTGTCTCAGTGTCCTTGGCCATCATATCAGCTAAAGCCTATATATTTGTTAAACATGAAAAGAATGTCAATAACTTGGCTTGAAGTAAGCTAAGGTAATTGAAATGCTAAGATTCTGAAGAAAGAATGGATGCCATCACCTGAATTCCAGTCCTTGGTCTTAAGTTAATAAGAAGTGTTGATCTGAGCCTTATGTTCTTAGGGAGATTATTGTTTTTCTCTGTTGCTCCCTTGTCTTTCTTATCCCCACCTGCCAAATTTTGCATTAAAATTTACTGCCATGACTCTGTATTCCCAGCAGTTCAAACAATAAAAATACTGGATAAACTAGTTTTTAATTCTTTTTGGATCTAACTTACTCTGATCATACAAAGAAAGAGATTAGTGTAATTTTACATGTTCTTTATAACAGGTCGCCTACCTTCTTGTTATTAACAATTACTTGTAATTATCTTCTTGGTGACGTGATAGTGTATAAATTATTTAAAAGGTAAAGTGTTCTGATATTTCCTCGGTTCATGGTTTCAGTATTTATGATTTAATGACTCTACTAAGAAAATAAGGTGATAAACTCATGGAAACGTCATACCCCTAATACATGAGGTAGAACTTACCGTATCTCTTGTTAAGATAGACAGATAAACCAGCCTGTGTTACTCCCAGAGCGACATCATTTATCGTCTGCGCAAGAAATAACAAAATCAATAAACATCAAACAGCTATATATATATATATATATATATATATTAGTAACATCTAATATACATCACAGCATTTGATGGGACTAATTAAGAATATATGTACCATATTTAATGTATTTTTGACCAACTTCAAATCATCAAGACTGATTGTCCTATGAGCAATTCGCCTAGGATTAAACTCAGAACCAGGCCTGCCCTTAATTGGCGTATTTGTGTCCTTCAAAAAAACAGTCGTGGCCATAAACATCAACACATCTACTATTGTGTTCCAAAACAATCTCATAAATGACCAAACTTTTGTAACATATGGCCACAATCCCTTGGACGTCGAATACTGGTCCAAAGAATCAATAGGCCTCTTTTTATTTCCTGGAATTGTTGGTAGTTTATCTGGATCAGCAATTTGACGAGTACAGGCGAGTAGAAGGGACATAAAAGAGGTGCCATCTCCAAGTGAATGATGAATTCGTAAAATGGCAACAGCCTCAGCATCTGATGTTTTGACATTGAGAAGATGGAGATCCCACAGAGGTTTCGATTTGTCAAGTGTTGTTTTGCTAAGGTTGTGAATATAATTCTCCACGAATTTGTCTGGTGACTCCTGCAGGTTTTGTTCATCCACTTGTGGCACCACAACGTGCTTTTCTACGTCCACCTTTGTGCGCACCCATTTCATTTCTCCATTATTTTTCTCATCCACCACCTAAAAGATGAATGAAACATGTACTTTAAGAAACGCATAATCAAAGAAGACATATGAATAACCGTTTGTTGATAAGAAAATAAAGATCTTTTTGTTTTTGGAAAATCCTATTTTTTTAGCTAACAATATTTATGTATCGGACTAAAATGAAGGCTAAATATGATTAGCCAAATATTACAATTTTCGTACCTGGAGGCTGGAGAAACGAGGATGCTTGACGAAAGTATGGACCAACTGCTCTTTGATAACTTGAGGATTGATTCTTGATTTGCTGCCCATTATGGATAAAACGTGGACGTTGAAGTTGGGCTCGTGAAATAACCTTGCTGATGGACTCAATGGCTCGTCTTCAGCTGCTTCCATGGCTAATTTTGACTTAGTTTGAATCGGTTTCAGACTCGGTTTTATCAATCTTATGGACTCCATTAATCCAGAGAACTTGTTCTCAATAACGTCTAGCAACTAAGTACTTAATAGTAATAACTTTTCTGTTGTTTTGAAAATGGGTTTCTGTTGCTTCATATATAAGTGGGAAAACCAAAGTACGTACGACTAGTAGCTTTTACTTTCGTCAACATGCATATAGCTGAAGGTTGATGATTGTGCTATAAATGGCAATCGTGTCAGGTCACAAAGAGCAGCAATAGTTTACTGCTTTCTTTAGCTCACTATTATCCCAAAATCCTCTAATTAAGATACAATTGTTTTGGGAAACCATAGCCTTTGGGTTTTCCTTGGGAAACAGTTTTGGTTTACCTAATTACTAAGATTGTTTTCTGCTGATTGAAACTAAATTTAACTTATTATATGCACGGATAGTAAGTTGTAGGGGCACATGCATGTGATAAAGAGAGTGTAACTGATCCCCTACTATGCAAATAGAACAATAGGCAGAATAGCCTAATAGATACTTGTACTTGTTCTCATTAGTCATCCCGGTCCCTATAATTAATAAAGTTTCATCCAGGCACTTGCACTTATTCAAACTCAATATTTTAAACCATTCTGACGATGCGTGTCTCTCAATTGCATGGTGCTAGAGTCCACGTCAGATAAAGATATGCCACTTCAGCATTTTTAAAAAAAAATTACATGAAAAAAAACCTTTTTATCTTTCCTCCCTCTTTTTGTTAAACCTTTTCTTTATTTTTCTTTCTTCTCCACCATCATCCTCTCCTTATTGTACTGTCTGAATCTAGCCTACCAGATAACACCATGAACAGTACTCTCCCATTCTCAATTCCTCCATAAGAACCCTTATCCCACCTCTACCTGAATACCTTATCTCCACCATGTTCTTTTCTCTCTAAAATACAGTTGGCCAACCATAGTAGCAACCCAATTCCGTTATTCTTCTCGCCATTTTCGCCCTATCTTCATTCCTTCACTCATTTACGATTTCACTAGCTTTAAATCCCGTTCCTTCCCCTGTTAAGAGTTTGCTTTCCAGAAAAGGGTCCCTATATAACAACAACCATATAAGAGTAATAAAAATTAAAAGTTTCTATCACTTAAATTACACTATTTTTTTACTAAAAACAAATATTCACAAAGCAAACAAATAATGGCAAACAGATAATTAACTAGACCATACAAAGAAAAATTAGATCTATAAATTTAAAAAGAAGAAAAGAAGAAAAGGAGCAGGGGTGGGGAAGAACAGGAAGGGGAAACAAAGAAAAAGAAAAAGAAATGGGGCAAGGGATGGGGAAAAACGAGAATGGGAGGGGGGAGGGAGAGAAAAAGAATTGGGACTAGGTCTGAGGAAGAACGAGAAATGCAGGGGATAAAGACAAAAAGAACAGGGGAAAGGGTGGGTCTCGGTGAAAACTAGAAAGAAACATACTATTATGTTTTTGTTTTTTATTTCTTTTGTCTTCTTCATTTTTATTAATTAGTTTTTAATGTAAATTCTTACATTCACGCTCCTTATACGCGTGAAGTATACACATTTTGTACAACTCAGTCATCAAGTTGCCACATATGCTCGGTCAACGGTCGGAGGGGTTTAAAATATTAATTTTGAACAAGTTAAAGTGTCTGGATGAAAAAAAGTGAAGTAGGGGGACCGGCATGACAAAGTGGCACAAGTATAGGTGCCATTTAGGCCATTCTGCCAATAGAATAGAAATAAGAAAGAATTACATCCTATGTCAGTCAGTCCACTCTCAGAACTAAAAATAGCCCATGTTTTAAAACTTTACCCGACATAGCCTATTTTACAGATAATACATAAAAATGATTTCATCGGTTAACCTAGCGTGGAGAAGAGAACTAGACAGCCTCCTTTATCCATATTTTCTTCTTTCTTCAACTTTCAGAGTGAAGTCAATCGAGAGGTCGCCGGCAAAGTTAACGATGTCATCGGAAAATAAATATGGTGATGGAAAACATCCTTTACCCATTTTTCCCCTTAAATTTTCAAGGTAAATAGGCCGACGATAAAGTTAGTGAAGCCATCGGAAAATGAATCTCCGGTGGTCGACGATAATTTCAGACAATTTTCAAGTTATTCAGATGATGTTCCAGTTATTTATCTTCTTTAATAAAATAATTCCATCTTCATCTTCTCTCCTCTTTAATTTTCAGATCTAACTTCCTCTGAAAAACTCTCTTTTGATATTTTGGTACTGAAATAGAGGTGTAATACTAAACATATGATGTGTTCTGGTATAAATATTGTGTAACCACTATTTATACACACTTATACATTATTGTATAAATGTGTATATTTATATATAAATGTGTATATATGTTCATAACATCACATAATTATTTATTTCTTAATGTATAAGGATATATATACATTGTCATTATATAAGAGGCCTCCATGGAAGTTTGACACTTATCTTCTTCTTCTTTCTCTTATTCTTTTGATATACATTATTATACATTCCATATACAAGTTTATACATAGTTATACATCATTATACATGTAATGCATATGTATATCAATAATTTTTTTCATGTTTTCTTACTTTTTCTAGAATAATTCATGCATAAATTACTTTCCTTGTTGATTCCACCAAATCACGAAACAATTGCAGCAACTGTTCTCAATTTACCATATAAGTAAAATCAGCGAAAAATTGGGGGAAACTTGCAGCAAATTGCAGCACTAAAGACAAATTGGAGGAGAAAGATCAAAATTAGATGACGGAAGAATTAGAAAATCTCATGACTTCATCTAAATAAGATAATTGTCCTGATTAAACTCCATTGACTGAATAAAAAAGCTAGAAAATACTCTTTTTTCAAATATTAGCCTATTATTTTTGGGCTACAGATTTGTAAAGTTATGACTGAGCTATTATGTTGCAAGTCAGATGTGTGAGTTGTATTTATGTGAAATTATCCCTAGAAATAAATGCTTTGTATGTATATATACATTTATTGATCCCTTTGATTAGAGTAATTATTACTATAGTGGCAAAGGTGGTTCAAATTGTTTGTTCAAATCTCAAATGTTGCATTCTGATAGTATCTTTTTTTTTTTTGGCATGGTTTTCTTGACCCGTTTTAATACCTGTCATCGATCCATCTACAGCTTACAAAGCCTTTATTAACTTGTATTGAGCTCTAGCTGCCAACTGCACCAGATCTCTTCTTGTCAAGTTTTCGAGTCCTGAACTTGTCACAAACGATTAATTAAAGAGATTTTTGTGATTTTTTTAAGGCCGTTAGGCTTTACTTTTTCCGAGTATGAAAGAAAGTAAGTTGAGAATATGCACACGTACAACTTTTTGTTCTTTTTTTCCTTCTAATTTTCTCTTTTGTGAAGTCATTCGGTCCAAATGTAGTGCGGCGTCTAAAAAAGACTGTGGAACAACATTTATGAAACTGTCGTAGAAGGTTGAGATCTAATTTAACTCTTTACCCCTTGCAATGACTTTCTTTGTAACAAGCGCCATTCAAGAAAGGACGGAGTTAAACGTCTGCTTCTTGAAAAGCAAAACATGGACTCGAGAGTATTGCTGATCTCCAGCTAGCAAGTTAGATCTGACAATGCTCATTTTATGATGAAATCAGCAGGAGAAGGTAACCCATGTACTTATGTATCATTTGTATATTACTTATGTACTTATCATATAACTATATAAATAGACAAGGACTCGCCAATATTTCTGGACTTGATTGTTGTATTATTTCAAGCTATATATTAATGATCTCATCACGTGCACTCATCATCATAGTCAAAGACCCAATCATGTTCTCTATTATAGCTGCAATGCATCAGCTGATCGAAATAAAGCCTTTGGCCATTTCCTCTTTTTCTACATCTCCTTATGTGCCATATAATCATGCTAATAAATAAATAAATAAAGGTGATTATTTAATTAAAGTTTGTATTTTATGAGCAAGTTATTAATTTTAGTAAAGGAAATGAACAAGAAGAATGACAGCATCATCTGAAGAAAACCTCGGAATATTCCAAATAAAACTTCTAAAATGGATGGCAGCGCGGCCCGACGATCTCCCTTCTTTTTTCCTACTTAAAGTGGTAGTAATTGGTTTCTACTAATAAAAAATAATGAAACAAAATATGAGAGTAGGACAAACCAACTCCCGGTAATACAAATGAGAGAAAGTGGAATTTCCTATTTACAAGAAAGAGCAACAATGAAAACTACGTCATCCTTGGATACAAGAAGATCACATGTCAGCAAAATGAATCACCAATCTAATACTTAAACAGTACTTCCTTTCCCTTGTTTTATTTGGAGAGTAAAAGAGGGTTGAGGGTTGAATAAATGCTAAGTATATGATATAAGTTGGTTTATCCGGTGGATAGGGTTAGCTGGGTGCCTGTCACGTTTAGAGGGTATTTTGAGACGTAACATACGCAATTACAGATTTAATTTTTTGTTGCAACTATATTAAATTTTTGTGGCAATATATCACCTTGTAGCTACATTAATTTAATACTATAAAGATAGCTACATATTTAATTCATCGAGGTAAAAGATAAAACCATTTGCTGTAAGTGTATATTATCTGTGACAAGTTTTGCCATCCACCATTACACATTTATAGCAATAACTCTTAGTGTATTTAACTTTTCGCTACACTATTTATTGCTACGTCACATCATATTTTGCTAGCGTTTGGACATAGTTTAATTAAAACTTGAAAAAAGAGTTTTTGAAATTGTATTGAAAAATAATTTTTGAAAGTTGAAGTTGTGTTTGGACATGCATATTATTTGAAGAAAAGTTGAAGTATTGTGAGTGAAAGAAAAAATTTCACCCAAAAATTGCCCTAAACTAGTTGTTGGGAACTTAAAAATTTTTGAATCTTTTTTCCCAATACACGATCATATTTCATAAACAAACAATGTTTTTAATTTATTTTAGAAAATGAAG